TTCTCACTGTTGTTTCTGTAAGCCCACCTGTCTTTCAGAATCTGGCAGTGACAGAATCAATGACCTATAAAATAGAATATATTGCATTTTAGTTAAGGCAAACATGGCTTGAAAAGAGCTTATTTGCCTTGTTTAAATTAGCATATTTGACAAACTGAATAAGACCATCAGAGACGACTTTTGCAGGCTATCGTCTAGGGAACTGCTCAAGTTATCCGTGCCATGGCAATGCATTAAAATAATAGATGGATTGTAATTATTTATAAGGAATTCATTTTGTCAGGAGATTGTGGTCACAACCTGCAGCTCAGATGACACCCAGGTTGCTAGAATTTCTTGGTGAAAAGGAATTTCATTTGGTCCAGTCTTCTGTCTGCTGCTGTTTTGTGGTATCTGGCTTCACGTTTTCAGGTTTCTTAATGGCCCACATTGTTTAGGAATCGTGTTACGATAATGTACATCTTCCACCACCTGTCTGTTGGTTTGCCCTGCGTACTGTGGTGGCTTGCGTGTTGCTATGACGCTGGAGGTAACACTACTGGTAATTCAAATACACTTAGTCTTCACTTACCAACCATCTCATTATCTGATGTTTCACATTTACCGACAGTTGTGAACAATCTCCTCTCTCACTCTTTTGCATGTTAACCTGCATTTCTTTCATGCATTGAACCTCAGAAGGAGTTGTCACTGGGAGAGGTTGCAGCTGCTGCTTCCCTCTCCTCAAGAGTCCTGGAGGAACCTAGTCATCCAGCAGAAAGATTGGGGAGAGGGGATACGGGGCCTGAGGCTGCTGCAAAAGCCAGCTTCCTACTCCTCCCCTGCAGCCCCGGTGTTGAGCTCCTCTTTCAAGCTGATGTTAATCACCAGGTTCTTGGCTTCAGATTCCGAGGTCAGCAGTGTGCCCCTTATTTCCGTGGGGTCCTTCCTGACCTACAGGGCAGCAGCAGGCAGCTGGGATCTCGGAGGAGACAGATGCAGGGGTTGTGGGCATGGACAGCAATCTCCACTGACCATCTTGACCCTAATCCCCTTTGATTGCCTGAGCCCTGGAGCCACCAACTGTGCCTCAAGTCTAGCTGCTGGGCCCCAGGTCCCCTTCAGTGCCAGCCCTGATGGCATGGCCAGGATCCATATACAGTGATGTCAGGAGGAGTTCCAAGAATCTGGGCTTCAGGCCCCTTCAAACCGTCCTCTTCACGTAATGCAAATCTGATGTAATGACCCAGTCTTTGGAACCTAATTATGTTGGTAACTGAGGAATGTGTGTACCAGCAGGATTCCCTGTATAGGACAGTATTTTAAAATTTTTATTTTATATTGGTTTGAATAAACAATTCATACACATTGTGTTTCCCACTTCCCTTTGTTCCCATTGTGTTTCATACAAACATTCCCATGCATTGTGTTTTTATAAATAATTCATCATAGAATTATGCCCATGATTACCCCATCTTTTCAGGTCTACCAGACATTTCCCATTTCCTCTACCCCTATCTGCCACCCACCAAATTGTGCGATCCTGTGATTTTCCCCCTTCCCTTTTTACCCTTCTGCTCCTACTCCTTTCCCCCCTTGAGTTCCCATTCATGTTTTATTAGTCATCTTTCTTTTTTTTATAACAGTGGCCTTATGCAGTGTTTGTCCTTATGAGATTGAGTTAGTTCATTCTGTATAATGCTCTCTAGTCTCTCCCAAGTTATGTCCTATTTTGCAGAATTGTTGCTTTGAGTGTTACGTAGTATTCCATTATGTGAATGTACCACAGTTTCTCAATCCATTCCGTTATGGTGGGGTATTTGGGCTATTTCCAGGCTCTTGTGATTGTGAATAATGCTGCTATGAACATTGGTTTATAAATCACCATTTGTGTCTTAGTTCTAATTTTCTTGGGGTATATTCCTAGGAGTGGAATAGCTGGGTCATATGGAATTTCTGCGTTCAGCTTTTTTGAGGAAATGCCAAACTGCCTTCCAGAGTGGTTGTACCCTTTCACAGTCCCATCAACAGTGTCTGAGAGTTCCAGTCTCTCCACATCCTCTCCAACATTTACTGCTTTCTTGGACAAGTTTTAACAGCACTTCTAAACTAACACGAGGAAGGAAGGCCTTGAAATGTGTTAGTGAAAATTAGCCTATGTGAACCTACATATCAGAGCAGAATATTGTCTAATGCAGAGCTACAAGATGAGTCTCCTAGGTGGAAAGTCATTTGGAATACACAGTAGCTGCAGTCAACTCTGGCCCTCCTGTGCAAGCCTTGAAATAGCTGGAACAGGCAATGCTAGTTCCCAATGATTTAGCAGCTCCACTCCTAGGTGGATAATCTGCTTGTGCTTGTGCAGAACAGTTGCAATTTAATGCAGTGTGTCTATATCCTTGTCAGCATTTGGCATTGTCTTTATTGAATATTGTTTGCTGTGGAGTCCGTATAGACCCATTGCTGACACTCCAGCAGGTTTTCAGATGCAATAAATCACATGAAAGAAGATTGCCAATCCTTCTCCCATGGTGCAGCTGATGGATTCGAACCACGTGCCTTTGGGATGACTGCAGCTTCGTACCCTTAGGCCACCAACCCAAAGCTGCTCGTCTCTAGTAGTTAGAATCTACCGGCAGCTTGGTACAAGAAAGCTAAAGAAGCTTCTCCCGTGCACTTTACTGCCTTGGAAACCCGACGGAGGGTCAGTTATGAGTTGATCCTAACTTGATGGCGATGAAAGGTTTTATGTGTTGTGCTCGTTGATTGTGTGGTAGGCAGAATAATTCCCCTTCTCCCCAAAATAGAGATATCCATTACCTAATTACCGAAAACTGAGTATATTTTGTTACATGGCAAAGGAGAACTAATGTTACTAGTTAAACCTTAAGACAGAGATATTATCCTGGGCTCTCATTACAAGTAGGAAGCCTCTGGTGGCCTAGTGGTAAGAAACTGCACTGCAATCCCAAAGACGTGTTCTGTGGGAGAAGGACGGACACTCTCCTCCTGTGTAACTTACTGCCTCTGAAAATCCCCTGGAGGGTCTGTCTGATGGAAAGTTGCTATGAGTTGCTTAACTTGATGGTAGTGAGTTTGGTATTATTTCTTTAAGAGCCCTAATGTGCAGTGGTTAAGAATTCGGTCAGCAACCAAAAAGTCAGTGGTTTGAGCCCAGCTCATTGAGAGAAGGCGGAGGCAGCCTGCCCCTGGGATTTACGGCTTTAGGAACACTGTGAAAAGGCCCACTTCATCCTGTCGGGTCACCATGAGTTGGAATTGACTGAGTGGCAATGGTGTGTGGTTTTTTTGTTCATTTTTAAAATATTTGTTTGAATCATGATCCAAACAAAGCCCACACTTTTTGTTTGATTTACGTATCTTAAAAGACTTGTAAGTTCATTATCATTTTCTCTCTCTTGCACATATTACTTATTTGTTGGAAAAAAGAGATGATTATTCCTGTAGCATTTCTGAAATTTGATTTGCTTAATTGTAGGATTGGCTCCTCCAGACAACAGATCTTTGATCAATCATGGGGTAGCTCTGAGGTGTTGACTCACGAGCAGCTAACAAAAAACATGTTGCTTTTTCTCAATACCGTAAAATCCTCTTGTGTTTTTAAGTTAGTTTACCTTTTCCATATGTGGAGGTCCTGAGGATTTAAAAAAAGTCTTTAAAGTCTAATTGTTCTGATGTCTCAGAGTTAATTATTCTGGGTCTGTCTTCCTGGGTACACTGGACATTTTAATTGTGATTTCTATGACTTTTGGAAAATTTTCCTGGATTGTAGTTTAAATATTAATTATGTTTCAGAACTTTTTCCCTTTCTTCATCAGATCCATTCTAGTTTTGTTTTCCTAACAAATAACTAGTTTTAATTATTTTTTCTTGGATACTTTTTTCCATTTAAAAATGTTTATATTAATTTTCTTTATTATTTTTCTGCTTCTCTTCATTGTACTTTGTTACATATTCAGACTTACTTCCCATTATACATGTATTTTCCTTGGCACTTTCTTTGGTAATAGTTTACAGTCTTTTGAGCTTTTTTATTATTTTAGGGTTCTTAAATGTGTAATTTTTTAAAAATAATTTTAATGAACATTTACAGAGAATTTGGATTTCCATTCATTCATTGCTGCACTTCTCTACCCACCCAGCCCTCTCCCCCCACCCCCCAGTTCGCTCCTCTCTTTCAAAAGTAAAAGAAAGACTCCCTCCCTGGTACACAATCGCCCCACACCCCTCCCACTGCCCCAAGTACATTCCACTATGCAACCTTAATTGTGGACTCTTGTGATAACCATAATATCCTATCATACATCGCTTTTAAATTATTCAGTCCCTCATCTGTTTCAGTGCAGTATACACAATTTATCCAGTTTTTCTCAGTCTTACCCCCGCCCTGATATCAGTTCCATTTTACAGCAGTGGCATCATGCAATATTTGTCCTTTTGTAACTGAGATATTTCACTCAGCATAATGTCTTCCAGGCTTCTCAAATGTGTAATTTTATCAAGAATTTTGATTTACTGTTTTCCCTGAGCATGAAAGTTGTTCTGAATAACTTAGCTTGCTGTTAATAAAAATGGAAATCCCTGATTAGTCTTCAGTGGCCCCTTGGACTTTCAAATGTCTTTCCAAAATCTGAGAAAAGGTATCTGAAAAGGTCTTGTTTCTTTAATTTGGAAACACTGGGAGCCTGTTTAATGGCTTGCTGTCATTGAATTGAAACCAACGCAAGGCTGACCCTCCACTGGATTTTGGAGGCTGTATGTCACACAGGAAGAGCTTGTCTGTCTGTCTGTCTCCCAGGGAACCTGTGCCACCATATGATAACCACCACAGAGATGTGTACCACCTATGTGAACCACCAGAGAGATGTGCCATGTTGGTTAGCAGCACAACTCCCTATGGAATTCCCCAGGCCTAGTATACCCGTTTCAAGACTAAGGTTACACCTGTTCTACAATATTTTCTCCCTTCACTCTTAGGCGAGCCAAGAAAAGAACCAAAAATGAGAAGTAACCGACTTGAGAAGTCCATGGGAGCTGTTCAGATGGGGTTGGTCAAAATCCTCAAAGGATTCCAAAGCAAGGTTGCAAAGCCCTTGAATCCTAAACTGGTGACAGAAGAGGAGGCAAACAGAATGGTAATGTATCAGAGAAGTGACTACAGGAGATGCTCCCTGCAGTCTCTTCGGAAGGAAGGTTGTTCCTTCGTAGTCTCAGATTATCAAACAGAAGATGACTGACTGACTAACACCAGTCTAGCTGGCAAGGTAGTTTGTTGCAGAGCAGACCTACCTCTGAACCGCTGGAAAGTTTGTGAAACTACATACATAATTTAGAGTAGAGGCTTAAATTGCCTCAGTTAATCAGTCAAAGAAAGACCACACCTGCAAACTGGTAAGGTTTTTGAAATATTAGCTTGAACCACATGAATTTGGCACTAGTGTTATCCAAAAGCCTTAAATACTAACCATTTCATATGGTCTGGCTAATAATTTGTTACCTTGCCATGTGATGAGAGAGATTTTTATTTGTATGGTTTTTAAAGCCTGGAAACAGTGATTCTGTGGCATCTAGAAAAAAGAAACCTCTCTCCTATAAAATAAGAAAAATTATCTTTTATAATGAATTAGAATAATTTTGTGAAAATCAAATTATGAACCACATGTTGTTATTGTTAAATGCTGTTGAGCCGTAGACGACTCATAGCGACCTTGTGAACGAAAGACCTGAACACATGTATAACTTTCATCGTTTCTCCACGTTCGTACAGTTTCTGGAGGCAAGCTATTTCAGAAGTGGATGCC